GAATGTTGCTCGTATCATGCTATCCATTTTCTTACAGTTTTGTTCTGAGAGGACGATATTTTGTAACAGGTATTCTATTGCTGGGAAAAGGATGTGATTGATAATATATCTATATTATTTGTCTGTAATTTGGCTTCTATTGAGGGTTTGTGTTGTGGTTTGTATTTTATGCCTGATGAGGTCTAACTGATGAGCTTTGTTTCCCATGGCTGTGATCCACACCCCTAGAATTCTGATAGCTTCTTGTTTCGTCTTGGGTTGTATTTTGAACCTCTCCATTTTAATTGTTTTATCTTTGGTCGGATTGATAGTGATAAGTACCGCTTTCTCTGGGTTTATTGTCAAACTGGCAATTTTTGCAAAGCTTTCTACTATTTTGACAATTTTTTCCATGTTTCTATGATTGTTTGTAATCCAACATGTGTCATCCATATATGTGATTGATGTTACTTTGTCAATGGTTAAGATCCATCTACCTTGTTTTTTGCTTGGTGTTTTGGTTTCAAATTTGTATCCGAGTTTGATACTTCTACTTTGCAGATCAGGGGGTCGTAATATATCCTCCACAAGAGAGGAGAAATTGTGTCTCCTTGATCGATTCCAACCATTGGTGTAAATGAATTAGTTAGGCCGTGGCATGTAATGACTTGGTTTTTCCAGTTCTCTAGCAAGTTCATTATAATGTTTGTGATGTTGCTAGGTATTTTAATTCTTTTGAGTGCTTTTTCTAGGAGGTCGTGTTGCATTGAGTCATATGCTTTGCTGATGTCTTGACTTAGGAGCCAGCATTCCTTTTTCCCCTCTCTGGCTTCTTCTAGCATGTTGTTTATTATACTTATTGGTTCTTGTGTGCCTTCCTTTAGGAGTCCTGCCCAGTTTCGATCTGACAGTATTTTGTGTTTTGTAAAGATTTGTGCAAGTCTGTTGTTAATTATTTTTGTGAAAACTTTTTTAATTGTCTCCAGCAGTGTGATTGGATGGGTAAAATTGAGTTGGTGTTGCCAGTCGATTTTCTTTGGGATGGGATATATGATATTTTGCTGCCATTTTTTCAGTATTTCACCTGTGAGTATAATCTTGTTGAATAGTTGGGTTATTCGAATAAGTGCTTGTTCGCCAAGATTCTTGAGCATCGGATAGCTGATTCCTGATTTTCCTGATGTGAAGTTGTTGGACATTTTCTTTATTACTGCCTGGACTTCAGATAGTTGGATGACTGAATTTGCTTTTTGATACCAGCCTTCTGTAATTTCTTCTTTGGGTCTGTATTCTTGTTCCCATGCCTCCCATTTTGGCTTTCTTGTACTTTTCCTTGTTATCTCATTAAGTTGGAAGTGTTGCTTCACTAGGTTCTTAATTTCTCTTGGTTCTGTAGTGACCATAAGTTTTGGCTCTTTGGTGATGATTTTGTTTATTGTGATACGGCTGGATTTTCTGTTTAGAATGGAGTTTATCATTTTCCGTTTGTTATCTGTAAAGTTTGTAATTTGATTTTCTATGTGTTTTCTAATTCGCTCGGCTGTGATGTGGCAGTCTTTCTCCTTTAATACTTTTTTGGTGATACTATACGTTTGTTTGATTTCTTTTATCCACCTTTTAACTTTCTCTGATTGCAAATTTGTTTCTTCCCAGGGAGGTGTTCCGATGTGCTGTTCTGGTGTGTTAATTTTTCCAATTATGTTGATGATATTGTTTTGGATGATATTTGTTCGTTGGTTAAGAAGAAAAAATTTTCTAGACCACGTGTTGAGCTTTCTGAGATCAGTAATTTGTGTATGCATGCTTTGTTTGTGGTGGGGGTTTAGGTCTGTACGTTTTTGATGTCTTTTTCTTTTCTTGATGTTTTGATGTGTTGCCTTGCAGATGACATCCCATGTGAGGTTTCATGTTTTGTTGGATCCATATTTCTCTATGTTGTGTTTTTGGTTTTGTTCCGTGATGATATCTTCTACCTGTTGTTTGTATTTTTCCTATTGTTTGTTGTTGGTATTTTTCGTGTCGAAGATATTACTGTATCTGAGGGTTCTGATCTTTTGTTGTTGTGTCATGACTTCTGTTATTTCAATTCTGCATGTGGCAATGTCATTGTCACTGTTAGTTAGCATGTTTGAAGATTCAATTTCTGTGTTAATTAGGTTCCAGCTGTTATTGGGTGATATCCATATGTAATCAATTCGAGATTGTGTGGTATGCATGTTTGTCCAAGTAAACCGGGTTCTGTTTGGCCATATTTCTCGGAAAGTGTCGATGTGATCTAATTGGATTAGGGTTTGAAGTATGTGGGTGGTTGGTCTTTGACTGTTGCTCACGGGTCTTTTGTCGATTTTTGGATTGTGTAGGGCGTTAAAGTCTCCTGCAGTGATAATGTGCCAGTTTTTGTGATGTCTGGCCCAGATTTTGTCTTGGATCCATTTTGATATGGAGTGATGTTCTGGATTGCCTTTGCTTGGTATGTATACCCCAATTATACTGATGTATTTGTGATTTTTGTAGTTGAGGTCTATGCATATACTTCTTCCTTGGTACGTATCGATGTTGCCGATGTGATTTGCAATGCTTTCTTTAATTATTATCATGATTCCTCCACCTTTTTTCCTATTGCTCTATATAGTATGATATCCTTTCATTTTTCAGTGTTTAGATGTATCCAATGTGACTTGTGTCTCCGTGATAATTGCAATGTCGATTTCTTCTTCGTTGCAGTATGTAAGCCATATTGCCCTTTTGGTGGGGTCATTGAACCCTCTGACATTGTGTGTTGCTATTTTCCAGACCTTCCATGGTTGTGTTTCTGGCTCATGTCTTTGAATGCTGCTGTGTTCATTATTTTGTGATGCAGTAGTATATTGCAGGTATGATGTTGTGCTGAATGTTTTTTGTGGTCTTCTTTGGTGTTTTTGGGTTTCTATTGGGTATTCTTGAATTGGAATGTTGTTGCTGATGTTGTTGGTCATGTCTGTATCTGCTGTATGATTAGTGTCTTGTGTGTTGAATTCTTGTAACTCCTCCGGTAGTTGTGTATCTTCTTCTGGGTAGTTGTCTATCGAATTATAAAAGTTTGACAAATTATCAGTGATCTCATGCATCTCTGCGCTGGTGCTTGGGTTATTTCCCATTAGTTAAGATTGGTTATGGTGTTTTTGTTTCCAGGGATGAGATTGTGAATGGTATTCATGAGATTGTTCATCGTTTGGTTGGTGTGTTGGATGGTTACATGGATCTGTTTCTGTTGAGCTTAAAGGTCTTGGATTTCGTTTCTATTGTCCATCTGATTTCTTTGTGCTCCTTCTGTGGGGCCATTGTCTGTACTTTGATCTGGGGTTGCTTCTGTTTCTTCCATAGCTTCCAACCCATCTTCTTCGTAATATTCGAGGTTTGTTATTCTTTTGTCCATATCTGTTAGTTGTTCTTTGATTTCTTTAATGTCTTGCTGAAGTTGTTTGAGGATGTTCACAACTTGTTACAGGTTGCTTGGATCTTGTGTATGTTGTGTCGTATATGCTTCTGCTGTTTTTAGAGCTACTGCATACGATCCGGGCTTGCTGTTTCTTTTTCCCTTTGCGATTATATCCATAGTTCTTTTAATGTTTGTTGTTTTCGCTGGTTTGAATTTCTGATATAATTTGTCAAACTTGTCTGCTTGTTCTTTGTTATATTCCTTACACTATTGTCGTCTTTGTTTGCTTGGACAATCAACTGCTAAGTGTGTATGCGCGTCACATATGGTGCAGGTCTTTGTGTCGATCTGGGCCCATGTGATCTGTGTTTCACCCAGGACGAAATCTTGTATTACTGCTTCCTCTAAGTGTTGTTGGCTTTCGAAGCTGATGATTGCTACTTTTTTACGGTGATAACTTCCTGTTCTGGAAATGTAACAAGTTTTGGCTTTGATTTGTTAACAGATGACACACAGGTCGAATGCTGTTGTATTTGGGGGAAGATTGACTAGTTTGGCAGCAATGTTGCCCCTGGCTTTCATTTTCTCAAGGCTCTATTGTTCATCGAAAATTCTGACTGAATCTGCTTTAAAGGAGGTGCTTCACATGTTGACTAGTTTTTCCTTGGTGCTTCTTTCTTGAAAGGTGACTATGGCCGTTTGCCATATGTGCTGGGTACTCATACTGATGTCAGTAACCTGTCCAAATATAGAGAAGGTTTATTGTACGTCTATGGGTTTGGCATTCAAAGGGATATCCCATACTCTGATACTGTTTTCCTTATTTGTGTAGGAATTGGTGTCTGGCATGTGTTCCATGTACTTGTTTTCCAAACCTGGTAACTTGATTGTGCTTGCTCTTTCTGTGGCTTGCTGATCTCCAAAAATAGCTACGATCGACTCTTCATCTTTTTTCCCCTCTTTGCGGATTGCGAGAAGGCCTTCTGATGCTTCTAGGGCTTTGGTAATGTATTGTATTTTCTGCCAGAATGTGATGCAAGGGACTTCTGCCGCTGGGATTCCGATCTTGCTTCTTTTTCTGCCATATCTTACCATGCGATCGAACGGGGAGCGGAGTCTAGGCTTACTGCTTGCTCTTTCTGCTTTTCCCTTTCCTTTGTTGACTGTTTGCCATTCATTTTCATGTTTCTGATGGCCATGGTTTTCTGATTCTGATGCATACATGTCTTCATCGCTATCATCGATGCGGGCGTGTCCCCCAAAGGATGATGTTTGATGTCTCTCCAAGGCTTGTTATTCACTGGTTTGTTGTGGTTCTTCGTGTGTTTCCTCTTTAGGGTAGGTCTTCGTGCTGGTGGATGTTTCTCCCATCTCTTCTTCCATCATTTGGCTCCATGTGTTTCCGTGACTTGTTTTGTCACTTTGTACTGTTACTGTTACTTGTTTTTGCTGGGCTGCAGTCTTGGATGGTGGTGTCGGAATTTGGGATATTGCCTCCACTTCAGTTTTTTCTTGTTTTTTGTTGGGTTTTGGAACCGAGTATAGTGTATTTTCTCTGCTTTTCGTGTTGTTTCTCCCCTTGGACATGTCTCCTAGATTGTAGTTGGGCCTGACGGTCAGCTTGGAGCTTCTAAGACCCCTGTTTGCACTTATTTCCTTTCGCTGTTGTGTTTCCTTTTATGATAACTGTATGCATTTGGGAAAGAGTAATATATTGAATGCTGATTTAATTATTTTATATGTTTTAATAATGACTCAATTAATTGTATCAAATAATTACATCAAATTGTATCAAGAATCTATTAATTTCTACCATATGTACTGTATATTTCCAATTATAGAAAAACTGGTTTATAAGAGAATTGTAATATGATCAAATATTTGAAATCAATTGGAATTATCTTTAATATAATTATATTATCAGAAAAAATAATAATAAGAGTAGATTTTAAACCAGTAGAGTATCTCTAAAGGTTTTCTAACAATTGCATTAAAGAATACTAATTAAGTATTTGGCTATATTAGATTTTATTATCAGGAGGCCTTGATGAAAGGTAAAAACTGTAAATCATTTTAAAGAATCAAAAACCAGGATTTAGAATACTGTAATGATAACCTGATAATCAAAATATTCTTAATAATAAAATTGTTTTGGAAAAATTAAAATAGATTTATATATTTTTTCAAAAAAACAGAATAATATAGTAAACTATTCAGATTTAAATGGTAATTATATATAGTATTAAGTTAAATAATATATAGCTAATTATATTATATATAAATAAGTTAATTATAAACATATTGTATATATATAAGACTTGTTGAGTATATATTATACATGTGATGTAAATTATTTTGCTGTTGACTCAATTGCCAAAATTCTCAAAAATAATTACATCTGACTCAATTATTTTATATGTTTTAATAGTGACTCAATTAATTGCATCAAATAATTGTATCAATTGTGTTAAGAATTTACCTATTTCTATCACATATATAGTATATATGGCATTGTTTTAAAAAGTTTAGTAAAGATTAGCTAGCAATATAAACTAGACATAATATTTATATATTTCAATAAAAGATATAATTCATTATACTTCTTAAAACAATTAAAAAAGTATTTATCAAAATTATTAACAATAGGTACTTATAAAACACAATATCTTATTCAAAAGAAATTGGATAGGACTTTTAAGTAAAGAAACAAAAAATTAATTAATATAATTAACAATATATTAAAAGAAGTTAGGGAAAAGAAAAAAAATATTGGCTATTTAGTCAAGATATAACAATTTGGATTCTAACCTATAACCTAATCTTGGATACATGTCATAATTGCTGGAGCCACCAATTATCTCAAGCTATATGGGTTTTACAAGAGATAATTGATATTACTAATAACATTTATACTAATATTATTATATGGAATTAATAAGGGATTATAAATATACTTATTTAACATATAAAGGGTTTTATTTATTATTTCTTTTTTATTTATTTATTATGTTTACATTTATTATATCATTATGTATATGTCTTCTGAAAGATTAAGTCTTATAAAGATATATTTATAATATCTTATATATTTTTTATTTTATTTATTTATTTGAAAAAAGTTATAATATTCAGTGATGACTCTTCTTTTCAAACTTATTTAACAATAATTATGGCCATGCCCAACTCTTAACACTTCTTCAACACACCTTTATCAATATCTAATAATTTCAATAGCAACCCAAACATATTACAATACATACTCCTCTTTAAAAATTCCTTTATATCCAATTTAACCCATCTCAAAAATATAATAACAATTTTAATACTCAACATTTAAGGCCTCAACTTATAAGGAAAATTACTCAAACTAATAAGATATTACAAATGAGAGAAGCATTCTATACTATTCTAAAATCAAAGCTATTAAATCTAAACCACTACCTTCAACTATAAATAACATTACTATAATTTCAAGTCTTTCAAACTTATTTGCCAGCAACAGTATTGCTATCCTATTGACCAAGTCCCTAACTAATCATATTTTCAAATTCTATACAATCAATAAATTTTGATATGCAATTTATCTAAAATTCAAGTCAAAGATCAATATTATAATTATCTTATACTACTTACTTTATAACATTGATCAAAGAAAAACAGCTATCAAGTTTTTGAAAAACTTCATCAATTATATAACAAAAAGCACATATAGTAATTCTTGTAGATAATTTCAACATCTATCCAACCTCAGCTCTACATATCAATGTATAATTACTATTACATAAAAGACAAATCTACAGATACCTCTATAAACTTACTGACATTACAAAAATTACAAACAAGAAATCCTTCTTTACTCATTTTATATTAATCAATACCTCATGTATTGATCAAATATGGCTCTCAAATAATTTGACCAGCAAAATTCTAAGCTATAAAGTTTATAATCAAATCACTATAATTATAGATTACAAACAAGTTATTACCATACATAAGGTCGTATTTCAATGGAACTATTCCAATAGGATATTGTATTAATAATTAGGAATATGATAAAAAATATTGAAAAGCAATATTAATCAGAAATCGTAATTAAATACGAAATTGTAATTAAATACGAAATCGTAATTAAATATGAAATCGTAATTAAATACGAAATCGTAATTAAATACGAAATCGTAATTAAATATGAAATTGTAATTAATTGAAAATCATAACTATAAAAAACATGTGTTACATCAATAGCTTTATATAAATAGTAGTTTTACGATTTTGTATATTACAAAATGTACAGTGAAACAGATTCTAACCTTGAAACTGATACATCGTTTTTGAGTTCTACTAC